GCTGGCTGATATTTGTATCTGGTATCGATTCGTTGACTTTTTGGCCTCCTGGCGCCTCCGGGCATTCCTGGGCCCTCCTGCGCCCCAGACGACCGCATGTTCGATATCCCCCCCGTGTGGTCTGGAACCATTTCTGTATTGGGATATATGTTCGGGGAGCGCTTTTCGCTTCCCCCCCGCCCCCCAGGAGGCCCCAGGAGGCTCGAGAAGCGTGAAAACACCGGTTCATAACGGCCCAGGGCGGGACACGCGTGAAAACATGGGTTCCTAACGCTCCAGGGCAGGGAAAGCGCAAACACACATGGGTTCCTAACGCCCAGGCGGATGTCTAGCATGAGGAGGTGTTGAGAACGTCTCGAGCGAGACGCTTGTTTTCACGTGTCCAGGTCGCCCAGGCGGATGTCTAACATAAGGATGTGTTGAGAATGTCTCGAGCGAAACGCTTGTTTTCAGGTGCCCAGGTCACCCAGGCGGACGTCTAACATGAATATGTGTTGAGGATGTCTCGAGCGAGCCACTTGTTTTCACGTGTCCAGTTCGCCCAGGCAGATGTCTAGCATGAGGATGTGCTGAGGATGTGTTGAGCTTAACGCTTGTTTTTATCACGTGTCCAGGTCGCCCAGGCGGATGGCTAGCATGAGGATGTGGGCAGGATGTCTCGAGCGAGACGCTTGTCCCCAGCACGTTCCGTAGTGCGTCCCCTTGGCACGTCCCGCGGTGCGTCCCCATGGCACGTCCCCTGGCACGTCGCCTGGCGCTTCCCCTGGGACGTTCCGCGGCGCGTCCTCCTGGCATGTCCCCTTGTCAATTAGCTCTGGGGCAGATACTGTGTGCTCAGGCAGCTCGAGCTTAAGATCCAGATCAGTTCGGTCAGGACTCGGATGCAAAGGAGGACTCGATCCACAACGCTATAGAGCACAATCGCGGCATGGCACATCGCAATTCAGCACGGCGCAGCACAGCACAGCCCTCGGCACGGTACATCAAGATCCAAACACTCAGCATTGCAACCTGGCATGTTCCCTGGCACGTTCCGTGGCGCGCCCCGTGGCAAGTCCCCCTGGCACGTCGCGCGGCGCGTCACCTGGCACGTCCCGTGGCACGTACATTGGCACGTTCCGTAGCGCGTCCCCTTGGCACGTCCCGCGGTGCGTCCCCATGTCACGTCCCCTGGCACGTCGCCTGGCGCTTCCCCTGGGACGTTCCGCGGCGCGTCCTCCTAGCATGTCCCCTTGTCAATTAGCTCTGGGGCAGCTACTATGTGCTCAGGCAGCTCGAGCTTAAGATCCAGATCAGTTCGGTCAGGACTCGGATGCAAAGGAGGACTCGATCCACAACGCTATAGAGCACAATCGCGGAATGGCACATCGCAATTCAGCACGGCGCAGCACAGAACAGCCCTCGGCACGGAACATCGAGATCGATACATTCAGCATTGCATTGGCCCGTCGCCCACTCAGGTGTCTTTGAAACGTTGCCATGCCTTACATTTCTATATTCCTTTCCTGGTTCGTGGGTCGATCATGTTTGCTTGAGTTTGTGAGTTCGTAGAATGCGTCCCAGCGTGTGCTAAGAGGATGTTGGCAATCGCGAAGGTTGTTGTTTTATTGGGCAGATGTTCTGTCACAGGCATTCGCCAAGGTGTGCGTTTGGAATTCAACTCGCCTGGCTTGAAACCATCCAAGCCTGCTGCCGGCGTCGCCACCCCCCTCCCTTCTCCCTTGCCCCTGTTGTCATTTCCTTGTCTCCCTCCCCCCGCCATCCGTTCCCCGCCGCGCCCCTCCCCTTTCTATCATTGCCCCCCCCAGTATCTGTCCCTTGTGATCTTTTCCCCCATTCCCCCTTTACTTTTCTTCTGATCATCTGAAGGCTTTAGGCCAGTGCCGCTGGCCCCCCGCATGCCCCAGGCATCGATGGTTACCTCGTCGTCATCCTCGTCGTCGCTACCTTCCCACTCTTGATGTTCCTCGTCCTTCTGGGTGCCGAATGGCCTCCCCTCTTCTCAGTGAGCCTTCATTGATCCCTGGGGGCTCCACTGGATTTATGTTGGGCCCACTTGGGTCAATGCCTGGGCCTCCTTGCTGATCTTTTGGAGCCTCCCGGAGTCCCCTTGGGTCGCGCTTGCAAGAAGATTTGGCCATCTGGCGGGCTCTCAGGTCACGCGCAAGCTTCTTGTGCCCATCCCGGGCAAGGATACAGGGGATTCTCGCCCTGGGAGCGTGGAGCCATCGCAATTTATAAGGGATCGTGGCCACAGGAACTCGCGTTTCGTATAAATTGCAAGGGATTGTAGCCCCGCGAGCTTGGATTCAGTCCAACTTTCTGGGGATCATGGCCAAGAGGGTGGGGATCCAGCGTAGTTCGAGAGGGATCGTGGCCCTGTGACCGTGGACCCAGCGTAATTTTCAAGTTTTTTCAAGGGATTTGGGCCCCAGGAGCGCAGATCCAATGGAATTTACCAAGGATCGTGGCCTATGGAGCACGGATTCAGCGCACTTTCACCAGGATCGGACCCAGCGTAATCTACATGGGGTCGAGGCCTTGGGAGCGCGGAACGTTTATATGAGGGATCGTGGCATTGATATTGCCGGTCCAGTGTAATTTCGGGGGGAAGAAGCTTGGCCCTGGGTGCGCAGATTTTTCATAAGTGCAACTGCCGCATTCAATATCTAGCCAAACAGCGACAACATAGAAGCCAAGACAATTGTATTGTTCACGGCATGGACGCCCCACAGGGGGGCCGGCGGAGGATCCTTTTATTTTCTCCTTGTCTGCGGGGGGGGAAGGAGAGAAGGAGGGAAAGGAGGAGGGAGAGGAGGAGGAGGAGGAGGGTGAACGACTGCTTGGATACGACTGCCTCCTCCCTCCCTCCCCTCATCCTTGACCTCCTTCTGCCCGCCCTTCCCTCCACCTGTCAGCGGCCCAGCCGGCCGCCTCAGCGTCCAGCTTTGCCCGTTGGAGGAGCCCGGACCTCCTTTGTTCAAGAGGGGAAAAAAAACACACAGACACAAGGAATCGTCGATCCCCAAGAAAATATGTAGGAAAAAACATGGGAAGTGGGGGGGGCAGACAGAGATCCATAAAAAATATAAGAAAATAGGGGGAATCTTTTGATTTGTGTGTATTTCTTTGTGTGTCCTGGGGGCCCTTGATCGGAGGGTACCAACTATACACCAACACCGATCCTGGCCAGGATCACCCTGGGCCCAGGATCGGTGTATACGCCCTCCTGCCTGGGGCAGGAAGGCATATACACCGATCCTGGGCGCAGGATTTGCCTGGCCAAGATCGGTGTAGGTGTATAGTTGGTGCCCTCCGACTTGATTCGCCGAGGCTGCGCCCTGCCCCCCCCTGGCGGAGCGCGGGCGGGGCCCTCCCCCCCTGGCGGCGCGCGCGCGGCTCTGAGGGCGCTCGCCGCGCCTCGCCCCATTGCCGCCCTTCGCGCGTCCCGCGGACCTCCTCTCGGGGCAGCGAGCTCAGGATTCAGGAGGGGAAAAATCACGCAGACACAATTCCTCGTCGACTCCCAGGAAGATGTGGGAAACTGTGGGATGTGGGGGGGGAAGACAAAAAACGCCCAGAGCATATAAGGAAGATGTGGGGAATGTTTTTGTTTGTGTGTATCTATTTGTGTGTCCTGGGGCCCCTTCGAGGGTCGCCGTGCCGAGGCCTCCGGGGCTCCGCAGGGGCTCGCGCCGAGCGCGGGGCGCCACCGCCGCGCCGCACCGCCGGGGGTGGCTCTGCAGCGCGTGGCAGGGCAGGGAGGACCTCCCGGGTCCGCTTCCCCCCCCCTTCGATGCAGCTCTCGTCCTCGCCTCCCCGATCCTGGCACCCCCGCTCTCTCGCCCAGCTACCTCCTCCTCCTCCTCCTTCCTGATCTTGCGGATCCCCTCCTCTGGCTCATCCCCTCTTCTCGCTCCTGCTCGTCTTCTTCCCCTTGGACTGAGCTCAAAGCGACCATAGAACTCGTAAACGTGCACGGTATACGGTACCTATTAGGAAAGGAAGAATACAAACGCAGGGGCAGCATGTGGAGGAGCAGGAGGAGGATCAGGAGGATGAGGATGAGGATGAGGACGAGGATGATGAGGAGGATGATGAGGATGAGGATGAGGATGAGGATGATGATGTTGATGATGATGATGCTGATGATGATGCTGATATGATGATGATGACGATGATGATGATGATGGTGGTGGTGGTGGTGGTGATGATGATGATGATGATGACGACGACGACGACGACGACGACGGCGATGATGATGACGACGACGACGACGGCGGTGATGATGATGAGGAGGAGGAGGAGGAAGAGGAGGAGGAAGAGGAGGAGGAGGAGGTGGTGGAGGTGGTGGTGATGATGATGAAGATGAAGATGAAGACGATGATGATGATGATGATGATGATGATGATGATGATGATGATGATGATGATGATGATGATGATGATGATGATGATGATGATGATGATGATGATGATGATGATGATGATGATGATGATGATGATGATGATGATGATGATGATGATGATGATGATGATGATGATGATGATGATGATGATGATGATGATGATGATGATGATGATGATGCTGATGATCATGATGATGATGATGATGATGCTGATGATTGATGATGATGATGATGATGATGATGATGATGATGATGATGATGATGATGATGATGATGATGATGATGATGATGAATGATGATGATGCTGATGCTGATGCTGATGCTGATGATGATGTGATGATGATGATGATGATGATGATGATGATGATGATGATTGATGATGATGATGATGATGATGATGATGATGTGATGATGATGATGATGAGGAGGAGGAGGAGGAGGAGGAGGAGGAGGAGGAGGAGGAGGAGGAGGAGGAGGAGGAGGAGGAGGAGGAGGAGGACCAGGAGGACCAGGAGGACCAGGAGGAGGAGGAGCATCGAGGGCGTTCCCCTGCACAGTCTGGCCCGCGCCGCCCCTCCCCCTTTTGCAACAGGAGCTCTGCCGGCGGGCGGAGGCCCGCCGCACCCGCTCCCGCGCGCGGGCTCGCGGGCAGTTCTCGGGGCACCGCAGGCCCAGGACCGCAGTGGGATCCCCAGGCCCAGCCAGCCTTCACGATATCGATCTTCTGGTGTCGGGGGCGGCCAAGAGTCGGGTATAGCCAGGACCCCGGGTAAGGGGACCCAGTTAGTGGTAGGGCCCTGGGGCCCCTCAATTGGCCAGATTCACTAAACCAGGTTTGCCGTAACTGGTGTTTTTCGGGTGGCGGCAGTTCCGGTTAGTGGAAATGGGACGGGGGGGCGCCCCCGGCACAAATCACTAAACCAGGTTCCACAAAACCCAGTTCTGCCAACGCCCGAAAGAGAGGGGTGATGACTAGGGGGGGGGGTGGATCTCATGGCGGGCGCCAGATCTCATCTCTTGTTTCCCTACGTCCCTGGCTCCCCCCCTGGGCCGCGCACGTGCCGCTGGCCATGATTTGTGCCCCCCCTCTCGGACGCCCCCCTCTTGGACGCCCCCAATCCTGGTGTGAGTGCTGTTTGGGCGTTGGGCGGGGAAGGCTGGAGTTGCTTCCCGGCTCGCCCCGCTGCCCCGCGCCCAGCCTCTCCCACGCCCAGGTGGCCGCGGGTTGCGAGGGGAGGAAGCGGCACGGGTTTCATGGTACCACCTCGCAACGTCGATCCCCGGGCCCAGCCATGCCCCAGTGAGGGTTTTCGGCAAGCTTCGTCCCCTGAGGGGCCCTCGCCGGGCCCCCGGTGCCTCCCACAGCGCCAGAGGTCTGGTACCGCCTCCAGTGCAGTCAGGCGGGGTTCTTTTTTGGATCGCTCTTCCTCTTCCCCCCCTCTTCCTCCAGCCTTTCCCTCCTCCATCTCTCCTCCTCCATCTCTCCTCCTCCTCCTCCTCCTTCTCCCTCCTTCTCTCCTCTTCTCGTCGTCTCTCGTTCTTTTACAGTCTTGAGTTCTCTTCTCGTTTTTGCCTCCTCTTCTCATCCTGTTGTCATCATCCTTCCTCCTCCTCCTCCTCCTGCTCTCCTCCTCCTTCCTCCCTCCTCCCCCTTGAGGGCTTGACGCCTCTTCTCTAGTCGACTTGCGGGAGTAAAGCTAGAGAAGTGGAGGCAGATCTACGCAAGTCGATGCACATCGAGACACTAGCTGAGGTGCATATCCAGAGATGTCCCGATGGATCTTGGCAAATGGTGAGAGCTCAAGCGCGAGTCGAGGGTCATCCGAAGTAATCAAGCGCTTAACGAGGGGTAGCGCAGGTTCACGCCGCGTTGGTGCGGCGGCGATTCCAGCGCGTTCATCTGGACGCTGCGGAGGAGGGTGAGGAAGGATGCGGGCAGAGAGGTGGTCGGTGTAGAGGGAGGAGGAAGAGGATGAGGATGAGGAGGAGGAGGAGAAGGAGGACCAGTGCAATCCGAAGAGTCATCAACGATGTTGGAATAAGCCCTCCCTCCAAACTTCCTCTTCATAGGCCCCTACAACCGTTCATTTCCGCTGGGGGAACTGCCTCGTTGGAAAACAACCGTTTGAAGACCCTGAAGCATGCCAAAACATTTTCCTCGGGATTCCAACGCCACGGGCCAACGTGACTGTTGCGTCTAGACGATCCTGAATCTTGCCAGAGCGCCATTCCTGGGATATCAACACCGCGAATCAACGTAACTGGTGTGCCCTCATAATCTTGAATCCTTCCACAGTGCCATTTCTGGTACGCTGATCTGGGCGCGGCGCTAAGGCGAGAGCCACTTTTTTGAAAACGACCCTCTCCCCATGCGTGAAATCCTTGCGATTTTTTTACGACGAATGTGCGCGGCGCTAAGGCGAGAGCGACAGTTTGAAAAGGAGCCGCCCTCAATCCGTGAAACTTCTGCAAATGTTTAAAACGAATGTGCGTGACGCTAAGGCGAGAGCCACATGTTGAAAACTTCCCGCCTTCAACCCGTGAAATTTTGCAAATGTTTGATACGAATGTGCGCGGCGCTAAGGCGGGAGCCACATTTTGAAAACGACCCTCTCTGCATCCGTGAAACTCTTGCAACTTTTTAAGCGATTGTGCGCGGCGCTAAGGCAAGAGCCACACTCTGAAAACGACCCCCCCCCTCCCCCCCTTTGCGCCGAACATGGGGCCGGGGAGGGGGGGAGGGGGCTTGTTTCGTTTTCCTTGCTGCGCCAGAGAAGGCTGGTAGGGAATACGGAGTAGACAGTAGTGTATAGTAAGTAGTGAGTAGTGAGTAGTGAGGAGTCCGTAGTGATTAGTGAGTAGTGAGTAGTGAGTAGTGAGTAGTGTGAAGTGGGTAGTGAGTAGCGAGTAGGGCATCGGGAGTATGGAGTGGGGAGTAGGTGGTCGTGAATAGTGAGTGCTGAGTACTGAATTGCAAAGTAGTGTGTGGTGAGTACTGATCAGTGAGTAGTGAGTAGCGAGTAGTGAGCCGAGAGCAGTGAGTAGTGAGTACTGAGTAGTGAGTATTGAGTAGGGAGTAGGGAGTGGGGAGTAGTGAGTACTGAGTGGTGGCTAGTGAGTAGTGGGTGGTGAGTAATGAGTCGTGAGTAGTGAGTAGTGGGTAGTGCATAGTAAGTAGTGAGTAGTGCTCCATCAGTGAAAATGTTGTCACTTGTTAAGCTTGAGGGTGACGAGTGGCGAGGAAGTCTCAGGCGAAACGCCTGGCTGGCCCTGGAAACTGGCCTCGGGCTGCGACTAGGAGCAGGTAGCTATACGGAAAAGGGAAAAGGAAAAGGAATGGAGGAGGAGGAGGCGGGGGAGAAGGAGAAGGAGGAGGAGGAGGAGGAGGAGGAGGAGGAGCAGGAGGATGAGGATGAGGAGGAGGAAAAGAGAACGGGGGATTGTGGAGCCCCTCGCCTTTCGAAGAGTGTTATCGTATAGTTGTTCGTGAATTTTTCGAACCTTCTTCCTCATATACCTTCTCCTCCTTCTCCTCCTCTTCCTCTTTCCCGTCTTCTCCGGCTCCTTTTCCTCCTTCTCTCTCCTCTTCTTCCTCCTCCTCCCCCTTGTCCCTCCTCCAATATCTAGCTTTTTGCTTCCCCCGCCCCCCCCCAAAAAGCATAAAACGCGACGCGGCCTCTAGTTTTTCTTTGTTTTTTTGGGGGTGGGGGGTGGGGTGTGGGGTGTGGGGTGGGGGGCTCCTCCTCCTCCTCCTCCTCCTCCTCCGCGCTGCTTCCTCCTCCTCCCCCTCCTCCTCCTACTCCTCCTTGCCCCAGACTATGCTTCTCCTGCCCCCCCAAAACAAAGAAGAATACTATTAAACAACGATCAGTTTTTTGTGTGTTTTTTATTTTGGTGTCTTTTTTTGTTTAATTGGTATTGTTTTCGTTGTTTTCATCATCATTATTATTATTCGTATTAGTATTCTTCTTATTATTATTAGTATTACTATTATTATTATTATTGTTATCAGTATCATCATCATTCTCATCATCACCATTATTAGTATCATCATTTTCATTACTATATATATAGATCTTCATCCTTTGTGATGTGTATATATATATATATAGATACAGCTGGGTATTGTTTTTTTGGGGGGGCTCCTCCTCCTCCTCCGCGCTGCTCCGCTCCCTCCTCGTCCTCCTGCGCCTTGCCCCGGAATCTAGCTTTTTGCTTCTCCTGCACCCCAACCAAAACATATCATTAATAACGACACAACAAAAACGCGGCGCGGCCTCTCCTTTTTTTGTTGGGGGGGGGGGGGGGTTCTCTTCCTCCTCCTCCGCGCTGCTCCGCTCCCTCCTCCCTCTCTTTCCCGCCCTCATCCTCCTCCCTCCCCAGAATCAAGATTTTGCTATTGAGATGCCTCGAAAGATATATGTTCATCTACATATATATATGTATATATATATATATATATCAGTTGACATTGCATTGGCATTGGTTTGGCCATGGTTTGGTATAGCATCGCCATTGCGTTGGCATGGCGCTTGGCAGTGGGTTGGCATTGCGCGTGCATGTCGCAAGCATTGCGCTGTCGGGTCCTAATTGAACCCTCCACAAAAGGACTCAACTTGAAACCCCCTACCAGAAGGATTCCGATTGAAACCCTCCGCAACAGAGAACAAGGGTTCACATTGAAACCCTACACAGAAGGATTCCATGCGAAACCCTCCACAGAAGGAACCCCACTGAACTCTATCACACATGCTTTGGCATTGGCATTGACATTGGCATTGGCAGTGGCATTGCATTGGCATTGGGTTGGGATCGCCTTGGCATTAGTTTAGCATTGCGTTGGCACTGCTTTTGCATTGCGCTGGTATTGCGCTCGCGAGTTCCAATGCCTCCCTTCGCAGAATGATTCCTATTGGGCCCCGCACAAGGAGGATTCCGATTGGAACATTTCACAAGAAGGATTCATATTGAACCCCTTCAAATCAGGATTTCATTCGAAGCCATCCATTGAAGGAGTCTTGTTGAAACCGGGCACAAACGATTTCCCCCAGGCATTTCATTGGCATTGGATTGGGATTGCTATGGCATTGGTTTGGCATTGCGTTGTCACTGCTTTGTCATTGCGCTGGCGACTTCTAATGCCCACACCACAGAAGGATTCCGATGGAAGCCGTCCACACGAAGTGTCCCCCACATGAAGGGTTCATGGTGAAACCCTCAACGGACGGATTCCCGCCGAAACCCTCCACAAGAAGATTCCTATATACATCTTCCGAATAAGGATTCGTAACCACATCATCCACTTACGCATTTCTGTTGGAATCTGTTGAGAATCTGGAACCATGCCATCGGCATGGCATTGGCATTGGTTTGGTAACGGTTTGGCATCGCATTGGCATTGCGTTGGCATTGCGATGGCAGTGCGTTTGCATTGCCATGGCATTGCGCTGGCGAGTCCCAACCAAATTCTCCACATAAGGATTCCGATTGAATACGTCCACAAGAATGATGTCTATGGACCCCCCGCAGTAATGATTCACATTGCAATCGATCCTCCACAGAAGGGTTCCATGCGAATCCCTTCACAGAAGGATTCCACTTTAAATCCTCAGAAGAAGGGTCCTTAGAAGGATTCCTTTGTGGATGACGTCATCCACAGAAGGGTTTTTAGAAGGATTGCTTTTGAACGCTACCACAAGCAATCCACCCCATTGGCGTTGCATTGCCATTAAGTTCGGGTCGCCTTGGCGTTGGTTTGGCATGGAGTTGGGATTGCTTTTGCATTGCACTGGCGAGTGCTAATGGTTCCCTTCGCAGAACGATTCTTGTTGAAACCCTCCACAAGCAAGATTCCCCTTGTAATATATAACAAAGGATTCCCCCCATTGGCATTGCATTGGCATTGTTTTGGGATCGCCTTGGCATTGGTTTGGCATTGCGATGGCACTGCTTCGGTATTGCGTTGGCATTACGCTGGCGAGTCCTAATGGCTCCCTCCGCAGAAGGACTCGTACTGAACCCCCCACGCGAAAGATTCCGAGTGAAACCCTCCACAGGAAGATCCCTATCGAAACCCTTCACAGAAGCATTCCTATTGAAATCCTCCGAAAAAGGATTCGTAATGACACCCGTCCGCAAGTTTTTTTTTTGTTATTTGTTTTTGTTATTTTGTTATTACTGTTTTAAAAAGACATCCACCGAGCGAAATGATTCCCCCGCTGGCATTGGATTGGGCACTGCTTTGGCATTGCGCTGGCATTGCGCTAGCGGGTCCTTGAGCCTCCTTTCGCACAATGATTCCTATTGAAACCTTCCAGAAATAGGATTCCTTTGCACATCTACCACAAATGCTCCTCCCCATTGGCATTGCATTGGCATTGTATTGGGATCGCCGTGGCATTGGTTTGGCATTGCGATGGCACTGCTTCGGTATTGCGTTGGCATTGTGCTGGCGAGTCCCATGGCTCCCTCCGCAGAAGGACTCGTACTGAACCCCCCACACGAAGGATTCCTAGTGAAACCCTCTACAGGAGGATCCCTATCGAAACCCTCCACATAAGCATTCCTATTGAAATCCTCCGAAGAAGGATTGGTAATGACACCCGTCCGCAAATGTTTTTTGTTGAAATCCACCGAGCGAAAGGATTCCCCCATTCACATTGCATTGGCATTGGCATTGGTTGGCAATGGATTGGTATCGCATTGGTTGGGAATGCATTGGCCTGGTGCAGGAGATAGACAGAGAGAGAGAGACAAATGGAAAGAGAGAGAGAGATAACAAGAAATGGCGATATGACGAGAGAAGCATATTATGAGGGGATCACGGAGAACAGAAAATGACTAACACATCAAATTTTAAAGATGAAGGGAGCGTTCCACTAGATAGAAACCATATCAAAACGACGAGGGACTCCACAATGCCCTGGCATCGAGGAGCAGGAGGAAGAGGAAGAGGAGGAGGGGGGGTGGAGGAGGAGGAGGAGGAGGAGGAGGAGGATGAGGAGGAGGAGGAAGAGAAGGATGAGGAAGAGGAGGAGGAGAAGGAGAAGGAGCAGGAGGATGAGAGGAGGAGGACGAGGGAGGAGGAGGAGGAGGAGGAGGAGGAGGAGGAGGGGGAGGGGGGGAGGAGAAGGAGGAGCAGGAGGAGGAGGAGGAGGAGGAGGAGGAGGAGGAGGAGGAGAAGAGGAGGAGGAGGAGGAGGAGGAGGAGGAGGGGGAGGGGGGGAGGAGGAGGAGGAGGAGCAGGAGGAGGAGGAGGAGGAGGAGGAGGAGGAGGAGGAGGAGGAAGAAGAGGAGAAGGAGGAGGAGGAGGAAGGATGCCAGCAGAGAGATGGACGGTGTAGAGGACCGAAGGGATATCTATGTGTGTATATGTATATATATATATATGAAGAGAGAAAGAGAGATATATATATAGAAACATGGAGAAAGAGAGAGAGAGAGAGAGAAAGATAGCGAGAGAGTGGGAGGGAGGGAGGGCGGAGGCACGCGACCATGGGCGCGCCCCGCCGCCGCGCTGCACGCTGGCGCTCTCTGGCCAACGGCACTGCGTTGGCGCGCGCCCCCCCGGGCGCACGGCCAGAGCTCGTTTCTCCCAGGTGTTCGATCACGAGCCCCGTGGCGAAACGTCGCCCTCCAGCTTGCGCGCCGCGGAGCGCCAGAAGCCGCCGAGGGCCGCCGGGAGGCCGCCGAGGGCCGCCGGGAGACCGCCCAGCTTGGCGAGGAGAGCCGTTATGGAAGCACCCGGTCGGAGATCGTGGCCAGGCTCCCGGGCGTCGCAGGAGGAAGGTGATCGTTTTTTTTTTTGTTGTTCACTGTTCTGCCGATCGGCGCGGGCCCTCGCACCCCCCCTCCTTCCCCTCCATGGAGTAGATCTTGGCTGTTTTTGGGCGCCGACTTCAGGCAGGCAGGTGGAGTCTCCCCCACGGGACGCACGGTTGCAAACAGTCGCGCTAAGCAGAGGCCCGGAGCCAGACCCCCCCCCTCCCCCCCCTCTTCCGCCAAATGTCGAAACGCTAGATAAGAAAACGCTCACACGCGGAAACGTAGTCTGGAGGCGCGGTTGGGAGACAAGCCCCGTCGCGTGCCAGGGTCGGGAACGACGTGAATTCACAAGTTTTCCCAATGATCAATCATCAATACCAAATGATGCGGTTTTGTGGCCCTGTGGGAGTGGCTTCTGGATCGACCAGCAGGCGATCGCCTGGGGTTTCGGCATTCGCGGGGGACTTCTTTGGGGGGGCTGGGGCGAGCAGTCTTGGAGATCCTCGTGGCCCCCTGGGCCTCCCCCCACAGAAGATGCAAGGTCATGCGCGTTTCGTTGACGATGGCAATGCAAGGAGGTTGTATCGAGAAAGCGAGCGATTTGCCGAGGAACTGTGCACCGAACCTGGGTTGGGCCCGACTCACGCTCACCGTTGCAAGGCGTGTGTTTTTTTTCTCATGGTGGAGGAGATTTTCCCTCGAGTTCCGACTCTCTCGCTCTCTCTCGCTCCCTCGCTCTCTCTCTCTCTCTCTCTCTCTCTCCCCTCCTCCTCCTCCTCCTCCTCTTCCTCCTCCTCGTCCTCTTCCTCATGCTTCTCTTCCTCCTCCTCCTCCTCCTCCTCCTCCCCCCTTCTCCTCCTCCTCCTTTCTCCTCCTCCTCCTCCTCCTCCTCCTCCTCCTCCTCCTCCTCCTCCTCCTCCTCCTCCCCCTCCTCCCCCTCCTCCCCCTCCCCCTCCTCCCCCTCCCCCTCCGTTCTCTGCCTGTCTGTCGCTCTCTTTCTCTCCCTCCTTGCAGCACCAGGGGGGCCGCAGCGTGCCGAGGTGGGCGTCCTGCCCTCTTCTGCGGCCTCTGCGCGGCCTCTCTGCGCCGCGGACGAGGGCACCTCGGCTGTCACGGCAGGCTCTGCCTGGGATGCCCTTGGCCGTGGCTGAGTCGGGCCTGTCCCTCTGCAGGAGGAATAGTCGAACATATCAAACAACAGTCTGGGGACGATTTTTCAGTTCTTTGACTACTTTAGAGTCTTTATTGATTCTTTGTTCGTCCGAAATCCGACTGCAGGAGGACACGCCCGACCTGAGGCTGGGGCTCGCCGCGCCCAGGCGGACCCCGACCCCGCGAGGTGCCTCGCCGCCCGCGTGCCGATTGTCTGCCGCTGCAGCGAGAGGTGCACTCCAGGAGGGGAGCAAAAACGACACAGACAGAAACACACGTCGATTCCCAGGACAAGATGGAACGTGGATGGGGAAGACGGGAGTCCAGAACATACGGGAAAACACGAGGAATCCAGGGACTTGTGTCTACCAGTCGTGCGTCCCTGGACCTCTTCGGTAATGGATGCTCTCACTCTCATTTTGGGTCTTCTGGCCGTGACGGGGGTGGGCATCTCGCCGCTGGGACCGGACCCCGGCTCCCCGAGCCGAGCAGGACTGTGCTGCTCGTGGCAGGCGCACGGATGAGTTCACAGCGACCACTTGCCGCTCAGATGCCCCTCTGTCTCCGAGGCTCGTCCGTGGGAGCGTAGGGTGGACGCGTAGCCCTCTTCCCCTCCCCCCCCCTGCCCTCTCCCAGGTGCGCTGCTTCGAGGGGTTCCTAGTCGGACCAGCTGACGAGGGAGAGAGCAGGTGCGGAGAGCCGCGCTCGCGCTGCGCGCCCGCGGGGCAGAATCACAGCAGACCCCGGCCGCACGCGCGGAGTTCTCGAGGAGCCTTCCGCGGGAGAGGCGAGCAGGGACGTGTTTTCTCCCAGCCGTCCTGTGGTGTTGGGTCCTCGTTTTGAAGAAGCAGCGCTCCGCGTCCTCTCCTCTCCTTCTTCCCCCCCCTTCTTCTGTGCCTCTGCCCTCCGTCTATCATCATCCTCATGTTCCGTAAGCATCAGGCTCATCATCATCACCATCACCATCAACGTCATCTTCATCATCATTGGTATTACTATTGTTATCATCATCGCCATCATCACCATCATCATCACCACCACCATCATCACCGCAATCATGTCTAGCATCCTCATCCTCGTCGTCATCACCATCACAACCATCACCATTGACATCATCATCAGCATTACTTTTATCATCATGATCTCCATCATCGACATCATCATCCCCATCCCCATCCCAATCATCATGTTTGTCATCATCATCACCATCATCATTACCATCATCATTACCATTATCATCATCATCATCATCATCATCATCATCATCATCATCACCCTCATTCGCATAATCATCATCATCATCACCAATCTCAGCATCATCCACATGATCATAACCATCGTTATCATCATCGTCGTTGTCGTCGTCATCATCATCATGACCATCATTATCATCAGCCTCATCCTCATCCTGGTTTCTTCTCCTTATAAGCAAATGCTCCCTGTCGCGCCCCGAGGCGGGTCGAAAGGGCGAGCCGGGCGTTCCGCCTGAGATTGCTCGCTATTTAGGATCCTGAAGCTTACAGTTTCATGGATTATACTATTTAGGATCTTGTTAACTTGCAACAGTTTCATGGATTCGAGGTTGTTTTCAAAGTGTGGTTCTCGCCTTGGCGCCGCGCACATCCATCAACAAAAATGCGAGGGGCTTCGCCGATGGAGGGCGGGTTTGTTTTAAGCATGCGGCTGTCGCCTAAGCGCCGCGCGCACTCGTTTAACACGAGTGCACGAGTTCAACGGATGCAGGGCGGTTCCTTTTCAGAATGTGGCTCTCGCACCAGCGCGGCGCACATTTGTCTGAAACAGTCGCAAGGGCTTCAGGGATGGAGGTCGGTTTTTTGTCAAGATGTGTGGCTCTCGCATCAGCGCCGCGCACATACGTTTCATGAGTTTACAGCAGTTTCAACCATCTTCATGGTTAGTGTTCTACTGATGGTGTTTGGGCGCGATTTATGTTTATCAGGGCACAACCGTTACGTTGATTCGTGGTGTTGAAATCCGAGGAATGCAGGAATGGTGTTCTGGCACAGTTCGGTATTTTCAAACGAACGTTTTCCAACGGGGCACTTCCTTCAGTGAAGATGAACCTTTGTAGGGGCCTATGGAGAGGGAACTTGGAGTGAGGGTTTATTGCAATGGCGTTGATGAGTCTTGGGTTTACACTGGTTCTCCTCTTCCTCCTCCCCTTTATCATCACCACTACCATCACCGTCCGCATCACCATCCTCATCGCCATCATAATCCTCATCGTCATCATCCTCCTCATCCTCCTCATTTTCATCCTCAGCCTCATCCTCATGCTCATCACCATCACCATCACCATCACCATCCCCGTCGTCCGTCGTCATTATGATCATCTTCATCATCATCACCATCATCATCGTCATTATGATCACCTTGACTATCATGATCATGATCATCATCATGATCTTCCGCATTCGCATCATCACCATCATCATCATTATCATCTTCTTATTTGTCATCATCATCATGTTTCTCTTCCTCTTCCTCTCCATCTTCATGTTCATCCTCATCGTTATTATTATCATGGCCGTCATGATCATCATCACCATATGACCATCATCATCATCTTCATCATCATCACCGCCATCGTCATCGTCATCACCAACATCATCGTCATCATCATCATCATCACCATCATCATCATCATCACGACCATCGTTGCGTCATCACCAACATCATCGTCATCATCATCATCAGCATCATCATCATCATCATCATCATCATCATCATCATCATCATCATCATCATCACTACTACCATTCTCATTATCATCATCATCATCATCATCATCATCATCATCATCATCATCATCATCATCATCATCATCATCACCATCACCAGCACCATCGTACCGCACGTTTCGTGTCCCCATGGGGAGCTCCACCGACTGCACCAGATGCAGCGCCCGTATAGCTCCGTCGTGCCCGTTTCGGTACACCCCTCACACGTTTCGTGGCCCCAAAGGGAGCTCCACCTAAGGCATCAGTGGCATTGCCCGCATGGCACCGCCGCGCCCGTTTCGGCACGCCCCTCACATGTTTTGTGGCCCCATCAGACAGGTGCGAATTGTTTCCTTAATTGATTCCTGGGGAGGAGCGGGCACGGAGGGGAGACGAGGCCAGGGCTGGGGGGCAGGGCAGGAGACGCGGAGTCGCTGGGCTCGCGGGCAGCCGAGGCCACGATACGACGTCACATGGCTGGTCCGCCGGCTCGCCCTGGGGGGCCCCTGTCGCCCCAGCTGGATTCGCGTCGGAATTCTGGCCGGAGCGCGCTCCAGGAGCGGTCCAAGGACTGGCTGCGTCGGTGCCGTTTGGCTTGAAGAGCTATGCGACGGCGGGCGCGAGGGGGGAGGCGCCCGACCTCGCGGCGGAAGGCGGCGGGCGGGCGCTGGAAGCGGGCGCTGGGGGGGGAGGCTTGGGGCCCAGCGGCCTTACAATAGTAATTAAGGGTACCCCTCTGCTCCAGGGCGCAGGGGCGTAGATGCGCCGTGCGCCACTTTTTAATTAGTAGTATAATAGGAGTAGGGGCGGCGAACCCGCGATCGCCGATTTGTGTCGTTTTATAGGGTCCGGCGCCCTCCCGCGGTGGTTCCAGCTTGGTTCCACGATGGTTCCGAGAGGTTGACATGTCACGAAACCCTATGGATTCACAGGGTTCCTGCTTGGTTCCAAGATGGTTCCACGATTGTTCCGACGTCGCAAGTGTGACGAAACCCTACGAATTCATAGGGTTCCTGCTTGGTTCCACGATGGTTCCGACGTCGGAAGTGTGATGGTTCCCCTCTGAATTCACAGGGTTCCTGCTTGGCTCCACGATGCTTCCACGATGGTTCCAACGTCGCAAGTGTGACGACACCTCATGAGTTCATAGGGTTCCTGCTTGGTTCCACGATGCTTCCACGATGGTTCCGACGTTGCAAGTGTGACGAAGCATCATGAATTCAAAGGGTTCCTCCTTGGTTCCACGATGGTTCCGACGCAGCGCGTCTGACGAAATCTCATGAATCCACAGGTTTCTTGCTTGGTTCCACGATGGTTCCACGATGGTTCCGACGTCGCAAGCGTGACGGAACCTTCTGAATTCACAGGGTTTCCCGAGCACGCTTTTGTGCAGCCCAGCCAGCTCCAGGAGGCCATGCTCCGCGAGACCGCGGTGTCGTGGATGCGGGACAGGCTCACGAAAACGCTTCCGAAGCGGTGCTGGGAGGAGACCCTGGAGGCGTACCGCGCCCTGCTGAAGGCCTGCGCGGCGCAAATCAATAGCGCCTGTGACGCCGACGGCCTGTGCCGCGAGCTGCCGTCCAGGGTAAAAGGACCTGGACCGCCGCCAGGGAGACCGCCTCGCTAAGTGATGCGACTCGCTGAAAAATAGCGCGCGCCCGATTTAAGGAAACTTTCGCACCTGTCTGGTGGGGGGCTCCACCCAAGGCCCCCAGTGGCCGCGCCCGCATGGCACCACCGCGCACGTTTCGACACACCCCACACACGTTTCGCGGCCCCACGGGGCGCCCCACCAAAGGCCCGAGTGGCGGCGCCCGCGTGGCACCGCCGCGTCCATTTCGGCACACCCTTCGCACGTTTCGCTGCCCCATAGGGAGTTCCACCTAAAACATCAGAGGCAGTGCCCGCGTGGCACCGCCGCGCCCACAACCGCGATACACACGACTGCATGCGGTTGGGTGCCTCGCCAGGATATCCAGCTGCCCGCGGGAAACCCCGCCACCGTGCCTGTGCGACAGCGCTGCAGGAATGATATCGACTGTAGGAACAGCGCATTTCCGACAAGTGGTTGCAGAGGGACGGGTTGTAAGCTGGACCTCGTCTTCGTCCGCGCGGTAGGAAGGAGGTCGAGCTTTCGCCCCGCGGCAATTCAGCGAGTGGTCTTACTTGGGAACGGGCGTGATCCAGACATCGCCTTCGTCCGCGCGGTAGGGAAAAACAATGAGCAGGAACGCGAGGAGGAGGAGGAGGAGGAGGAGGAGGAGGAGGAGGATGATGATGATGAGGAGGAGGAGGAGGCGGAGGAGGAGGGAGGAGGAGGAAGGAGGAAGGAGGAGGAGGAGGAGGAGAGGAGGAGGAGGAGGAGGAGGAGGAGGAGGAGGAGGAAGGAGGAGGAGGAGAGGAGGAGGAGGAGGAGGATGAGGAGGAGGAGGAGGAGGAGGAGGAGGAGGAGGAGGAGGAGGAGGTGAGGAGGAGGAGGAGGAGGAGGAGGAGGAGGAGGAGGAGGAGGAGGAGGAGGAGGAGGAGGAGGAGGAGGAGGAGGAGGAGGAGAGGAGGAGGAGAGGAGAGGAGGAGGAGGAGGAGAGGAGGAGGAGGAGGAGGAGGAGGAGGGGAGGAGGAGGAGGAGGAGGAGGAGGAGTAGGAGGAGGAGGAGGAGGAGGAGGAGGAGGAGGAGGCGGAGGAGGAGGAGGAGGAGGAGGAGGAGGAGGAGGAGGAGGAGGAGGAGGGAGGAGGAGGAGGAGGAGAGGAGGAGGAGGAGGAGGAGGAGGAGGAGGAGGAGGAGGAGGAGGAGGAGGAGGAGGAGGAGAGGAGGAGGAGGAGAGAGGAGGAGGAGGAGGAGGAGGAGGAGGAGGAGATGGGAGGAGGAGGAGGAGGAGGAGGAGGAGGAGGCGGAGGGAGGAGGGAGGAGGAGGAGGAGGAGGAGGAGGAGGAGGAGGAGGAGGAGGAGGAGGAGGGAGGAGGAGGAGGAGGAGGAGGAGGAGGAGGAGGAGGAGGAGGAGGAGGAGAGAGGAGGAGGAGGAGGAGAGGAGGAGGAGGAGGAGGAGGAGGAGGAGGAGGAGGAGGAGGAGGAGGAGGAGGAGGAGGAGGAGGAGGAGGAGGAGGAGGAGGAGGAGGAGGAGGAGGAGAGGGAGAGAATGACAACGAGGAGGAGGAAACTTTTTGGGACCCTCTTGTGGCCTCCTGGGGGCCCTCTGGGAGCCTCCTGGGGGGCATCTTGGGGGCCTCTTGTGGGCGTCCTGGGGCCTCTTGGGGGCCTCTTGGGGCCTCTTGGGATGTTTTAGGGAGGCGTTTGGCCCGTCGGACGCATTCGGAGGCCGTCTTGGGGGCCTCTCCAGGGCGTTTTGGTGCCCTGCTGGAGCGCCTTAGGGCCCTCTGCGGGCCATTTTGGGAATGTCTTGTGCGATCTTGGGGTCCTCTTGGGCCGACTCGGGGCTCTCTTGGGGGCCTCATGGGCTGTCTTGGAGCTATCTTGGAAACCCCTTCGGCCGTCCTGAGCGGTCGGAAACCCCCAAAGGCGAAAATTTCAAACCCTTCAAAAACCGAGCGGAACATACAGCCTCTTGGAGCTTCCTTGGGCCGTCTTGGGAGCCGCTTGAGCTGTCTTGAGGCCGTCTTGGGAGCCTCTTGAGCCGTCTTGGGCCATCTTGGGCCGTCGTGGTATCATCCTGGCTGCCTTGGAATCCGTCTTGGAGGCCACTTTGGCCGTTTGGAGGCCGAAAAGGGCGCCGGAAAACAACTTCGCAGGGAGCGAGCACAGAGCTACGCGTGTGGGGTGAGGGTGGGGCGGCCCTGGAAAATATTGAAAGACCCTCCCAGGCGAGCATTCTAGCACGCCCACTCCTTGCAGGCGCAGTTTCGTGTTTTGTTTTTCTTCGTGCGCTGCCGCCTCGATGCTTACGGGCCGTCGGCCCGAACAGATCTGCACGTGGGGCCCCCATCACCATGACAGCAGATGGGTCCTGAGGCCCTTCGTCGTCTTCGGCCTCTGGGGGCCCTCCCCGGTCCCTGGGACTCCGACGCAGACCCAGGAGGAAGAGCCGGACCCAGAAGAGGCCCCCCCAGGGTCCGCGACCCGCTTCCCCCAGGGCCCGTGTTCTCCGTGCCGAGGCCGGGGGGGGTCTACAGCATGGGAGGGCCTCCTGGCGTGCTCCTGCACGCCAGCCGTTGGAAGTAGGCATCTTTGGATCCCCAGATCCCAGTCTCCTTCAGCACCTGCCTTCTTCAAGAGCCGATATGCTTGTGCTATGTTCTGTATTCTCTCGGAGGGCCTGCACCCAATCTGCTCCATCCGCCTTCCTGTCTTGCGACTGACGTGTGACTCTGGGCGCTCTGCAGCGCCCCCTCTCCGAGCCACCTCCCGTACTGGCCGCGCCGAGGTACTGCCTGGGCCTCTCCCTTTGGGAGCTGCTCGGGGACGGCGCACGGGACCTGCTCGCGGAGGCTGGCGAGGACGCCGCCGATTCCAGACTGGCCGATGCCGCCTCTCCGAAGACGCTCCGCGTGGCCTGGCGGTCCCCATCCCTCAGCTCCCCGTGGGGGAGGGGATCGGAGCAGAAGGGGGGAGGGGGAGGAGGAGTAGGAGTAGTAGTAGTAGTAGTAATAGTAGTAGTAGTAGTAGTAGTAGTAGTAGTAGTAGTAGTAGTAGTAGTAGTAGTAGTAGTAGTAGTAGTAGTAGTAGTAGTAGTAGTAGTAGTAGTAGTAGTAGTAGTAGTAGTAGTAGTAGTAGTAGTAGTAGTAGTAGTAGTAGTAGTAGTAGTAGTAGTAGTAGTAGTAGTAGTAGTAGTAGTAGTAGTAGTAGTAGTAGTAGTAGTAGTAGTAGTAGTAGTAGTAGTAGTAGTAGTAGTAGTAGTAGTAGTAGTAGTAGTAGTAGTAGTAGTAGTAGTAGTAGTAGTAGTAGTAGTAGTAGTAGTAGTAGTAGTAGTAGTAGTAGTAGTAGTAGTAGTAGCGGAGGAGGAGGAGGAGGGAGGAGGAGGAGGAGGAGGAGGAGGAGGAGGAGGAAGGGAGGAGGAGGAGAGGCAGAGGAGGCAGAGGAGGCGGCGGAGGGAGGAGGAGGAGGAGGAGGAGGAGGAGGGAGGAGGAGGAGGAGGAGGAGGAGGAGGAGGAGGGAGGAGGAGGAGGAGGAGGACCAGTGTGAACCCAAGATTCAGTCGACCCACCGACGCGTGGTCCGTCCCCGCTCGCCCCTCGAGCAGGATCGTGCCCTCGCCGCAGGAGCTGCCGCCCAGGCCTGGGCTTCCCCCGCGTGCCCGCCTCCGCGCACTGCCTGCTCTGAGCGGACGCTCCCGCCGCGCTCGCTTTTTCTCCATCCCGGTCGAGTGCTGCCAGAAGTGCCCCTGGCCCCAAAGCTGCCCCCAGGATTTCCCAAGGAGGCCCCACGCGGCCTCCAGAGCACCCCTCGCAGGGCCCAGAGGGCCCCAGGGGCCCCCCAGACTGGGCGAGAAGCTGGGGGCTCCTCGGGCCAGGGGCGCCTCTGCGCAGGACCCCCCGACCCTTCGCTGCCTTTCGTCTCTTCGCTCTTCCCCCCTCCTGTCCGCGCCGCAATTTGCTTCGCTGCGTCCCACTGTTGCCCTACCGCTGCTTGGATCCAAGCGGCCGCCGAGAGAGAAAATCCGTCTCCGCGCGCCCCTCACACGGATCGTGCCCTGTGGGCTGCTCGACCAGCCTCCCCAGTGGCAGCGCTCGAATAGGCTCTATCTGTGGCTCGCATAGGTAGAGCTCGCAGTGGCGGTGGGGTCGCTTTGGCTCTGCCTGTCCTCGCGCTTCCTCTTCCTCCTCCTCTTCGTCGCTCTCCTCCCAGTGTCTTCAAAGGCGTGCAGGTTGACACAGTGATTCATTGATTTTTGACTCGGTAATCTGGAGCCCGAGTTTCGGCCACATTCGCCGGACAGCGCTGCTTGTCTGCACGGGCTAAGATTTCGCGCGTTGGTTTGCCTATCTCAGGCTGGCCCTTGCGTGACTCTGGGTCTGCCTGGTGCATTTTTGTGCAGCACTTGTTTGTGATGACACCTACCAGTTATTCGTGGCTGTTGCAAATTATGGGGAATAGGTGGCAGAGCTCGCACAGCCTCGCTCCCACCTCGGCACACCACTCACGCGGATCATGCCCCATAGGCAGCTTTCTTGTGGCAGGTGTCGGGAAGCTCGCACAGCGTTACCCGCCCGTTTTCCTCTCAGCCTTCACGCGGACCGTGCCCCATGATGGGGCTCCACCTAAGGCCCCAGTGGGGGAGCTCGCATAGCGTCACTCCGCCCGCTTCGGCACGCCCCTCACGGGGATCGTGTGCCCCACTGGGAGCTCCACCTATGGCCTCAGTGCGGGACTTCGGATTGCGTCGCCCCGGACATTTCCCTTCGCGCGGATCGTGCCCAATGGGGAGATCCACTTGCGGCTCCAGTGGGGAAGCTCGCGTAGCGTCGTCCCGTCCGCTTCAGCACACTATTCCCGCAAATCATGTACCACAGGTAGCTCAACCTTCAGCTCCAGTGAATGCGTCCGCACGAATTTGTCTCCTTAATTTCGTTACACTTCTCACACGGATCGCACCCCATACAGAGCTCTACCCGTATCTAGTTGTTCCGCCTGTTTTGGCACACCCCTCACACGGGTTGCGCCCGCATCGGTCGCCCCGCTCGATCCCTCTCTCCTGCAGTTCTCGCTGTATGATAAGAGCGTCACCACGACGCTCACGCAGTCGCATAGGATCTGGTGTTCCCTAGGCCGGTTTTGTCCACAGATATGGCATCTCGGTGGCCTCCGTCGAGCCATTTTTGAGCTATTTTGGGATCTCTGATGATGAGGATCTGCCGAGAGGCCATATCGGGCGGATCAGGTTGAACCATCCTGGCCTCTGCAGGGGCTTCGGGCCGTCCTCGTCCTCCTGGCAGTCCATCTGGGACCGCCTCGGGCCGTCTGACGCGGTCCTGGTGCGTCGTGGGGTCTCGTGCCCTGCAGGACAGCCGTGGCCTGTGGCCGTCCTGGCCCGCCCCGGAGTCTCAGGACACCTTCGAGGGGCGCCGGGAGGCTCCTGTGCCTTCTCCGTGGGCGAGCCGACCTCTTCTGGATCTGTGCAGGCCGCATCTTCTTGCACGGAATGGCCGGGGTGCCTTTTGCATTTCTTTGGTCGGCGGCGAGCCCGGGGGAGCGAGAAGTGGCGGGCCTTCTCAGAAGGCTCGGAAGTCCCGTGGCCTTTGAGAAGTTTTCTGAGCCTTCCCCGAAGACACGGAACCGTTCTCAGAAGGCGCGGTGGCTTCTGAGAATGTCCGTGGTGCGGCAAATGACAGTATGGAAACATATGCGATGCGATATCTCGCGGGAAGAAGTGTCCTAAGCAGGGTTGGCCAGCGGGGTTGGTCTGTCGGGGTTGGCTGGAGGGGTTGGCCAGAGTACATTCTTCTTCGATCGGTGGCTCTTGCAATCACACATGGTAGCCGAAATCTTTCCAAATTCCCCAGGCGCCCTCACGTATTCCAAGGGCCCAATTGGAGAGGAATTCGGGGGAGGACTCTCCCACAGCGGCCTTGCATACGCCGCCCTCAAGGACCAGTAGTTTTCACCCCAGCGGCCTAGGTCTAAGATCAAGTCGGGCGTGTCCCTCTAAAGGAGGAATCTTCAGAATTAGCCTGGCGAAGGACCCAACCATATTCAGCTGTAGGTTCCGCGATCGCGTGAATACTCTTCGGTGGGGTTTCTTATGGGATGGGGCGCGAAATGTGTGAGGGTGTCTCCCTCTGTGGGCCACGAGGCGGTGCCTGCTTTGCAGTACGCCATGCAGGGCTCCGCAGCTCCGCAGGTCGCTCCACCCAGGTGGAGTTCCCTGTGGGGCCGCGAAGCGCTGTCTTGGGTGGGGGAGACGCATGCGAACACCGCCACTGGGGCCTCAAGTGGAGCTCCCTGTGCGGTGACGAAGCGCTGTTCTGGGTGGGAGAGACGCATGCGAACACCGCCATTGGGGCCGCAGGTGGAGCTCCCTGTGGGGCCACGAAACGCTGTCCTGGGTAGGGGGGGCGCATGTGAACACCGCCATTCGGGCCTTAGGTGGAGCTCGTTGTGGGGCCACGAAGCGTTGTCCTGGGTGGGGGAGACGCATGCGAACACCACCGCTGGGACCTTAGGGTGAGCTCCCTGTGGGGCCAAGAAACGTTGTGCTGGGCGGGGGAGAGAGGGTCATGCGAACACCGCCACAAGGGCCTTTGGTGGAACTCCCCAGGTGGCCACGAAACGCTGTCCTGGGTGGGAGAAACGCACGCGAACACCGCCACGGGGGCCTCAAGTGAAGCTCCTTGTGGGGCCACGAAACGCTGCCCTGGGGTGGGGGAGACGCATGCGAACACCGCCATTGAGGCCGTATCTGGAGCTCTCTGTGGGGCCACGAAACGCTGTCCTGGGCGGGAGAGACGCATGCGAACACCGCCAAAACGGGCCTTAGGTGGAGTTCCCTGCGGGGCCGCGAAACGCTGTCCTGGGTGGGAGAGACGCATGCGGACACCGCCACTTGGACCTTATGTGGAGCTTCCTGTGGGGCCACGAAACGCTGTCTTGGGTTGGGGAAACGCATGCGAACACCGCCACAGGGGCCTTATGTGGAGCTCCCTGTGGGGCCACGAAACGCTGTCCTGGGTGGGGGAGGCGCATGCGAACACCGCTGCTGAGGCCGTAGGTGGAGCTCTGTGTGGGGCCACGAAGCGCTGTCGTGGGTTGCAAAGACGCATGCGAACACTGCCACAGTAGGGCGTTAGGTGGAGCTCGATGTGGGGCATGCGAACACCGCCACAGGGGTCTTAGGTGGAGCTCTGTGGGGCCACGAGATGCTGTCCTGGGTTGGGGAGAAAAATGCGAAGACCGCCAGTGGGGCCTTCGGTGGGGCTTCCCATGGGGCCACGAAGCGCTGTATTGGGTGGGGGAGACGCATGCGAACACCGCCACTGGGGCCTTAGGTGGAACTCCCTATGGGGCCACCGAAACGCTGTGCTGGGTGGGGGAAACGCATGCGAACACCGCCACTGGGGTCTTAGGTGGGGCTTCCAATGGTGCCGCGAAACCTTGTGCTGGGTGGGGGAGACGCATGCAAACACCGCCATTGAAGCCTTCGATGGGGCTGCCTGTGGGGCCACGAAACGTGTAAGGGGTGTGGCGAAATTGGTGGCGATGATGGTGACGATCACGGTGGTGATCATGACGTCGATGATGATGATGATGATGATGATGATGATGATGGTGGTGGTGGTGGTGGTGGTGGTGGTGATGATGATGATGATGATGATGATGATGATGAGGATGAGGATGAGGATAAGGATGAGGACATGCGCAGGGCAGAGGCAGGGATGGGAGGAGGGAGGAAGGGGAGGAGGAAGGAAGGAAGGAAAGAAGGAAGGAAAGAACTCGGGGGCCGTCTCTTCAAAACGAGGACCCAACACCGCAGGATGGTCGGGAACAAAAATAGTATTGGAATTCTTTTTCGATTATGCTTGGTTATGTAGGAGTAATTTTTTGTGTGTGTCATCTTTGGATATTTTTTCTCCACAATCCGCCTGTAGGGGGTCATGCCCAGTCTAGATAGAAGAAGGTATTTCCACGTCGTTCAAGCCCCCCGCCGCGGCTGGTCCCGGCCACGCTGCGGCTGGGCCCACGGCGCCACAGCAGCAGAAATGGCGCGCTGCGTGCCGAAGGCTCGCTTTTCTTGAGCACTCTTTTGGCGCGAACAATCTCAGCGTCAGCGCCGGTGGCGCCCCGAAGCGAATTGCGTTCCTTCCTTTTGGACGCCGGTTCTAGAATCGGTAGCCCGACTGGTAGCATCTACGCCTGCGGCTGCGTGGCTGCGTGCCCACTCGCGCCGTCACTTTGTGTCGATGATGCAGCACATGGGGCAGACAAAACGCACAACTCATGCTCGTTGCATTTGGCTCGCTCCACTTGTTCAGGATACCTCTCATGAGCTCCGCTTCGAGACGGCGCAGTTCAAGAGAGCGGAAGATGCGATGTCGTTGCTAGAGGCTCTTGCGGACAAGAAGCGCAGAGGAAGAGCAGGTTCAGGGCAGAATCGAAGAAAGGGATCGAAGGCCAGATGAGGGTGAGGCAAAAGACAGAGCGAGTTGTTCACCGTGTGCGATCCGTGCAGTTGTATCGTTCGATGCTGGAACTATTGCTTATACTGTCATAGGCAGGAGTTGTTTTCTTTCACTGCTCGGTGTCAGTTTTAGATGGCAGAGACGTTGTGCTCGCAGTGAATCCAAGGCACCTTCGTTACATGATGTGTTTGTCTGCGTCGCTGGAGTGCTATCGCTAAGCGCAGAGCTGTATAGGGCACACCTCTAGCGGTGGCATGCCATAGCGACTGTTCGCCGCTGTGCGCTTCTGGAAGTACTCTCTTGCCACGCGCTTCACAATGATTCGAATCTAGCTGTTGGCATCCCCACTGCCAGATCTTCGCCAATTGGACCCATGTGGCGCGCTGGAGGGAAAAGTGTGTGTGTGTGTGCGTGTGTGTGTGTGTGTGTGTGTGTGTGTGTGTGTGTGTGTGAGTGTGTGTGTGTGTGTGTGTGTATGTGTGTGCGGGTCACCTGCAGATGACCATCAGTCGCTTCCGGAGAGACGAGTTGCGGCCTGCGGACGCGGTTCGGCCGAGTCCTCGCCTCGCGGCTTGCAGCTCCTGCGTGCCCTGCAGGCCCGCGGGCTTCGCATCACTTGTCACGGCCAACAAGAGCAGCGAAAGAGACACCTAGGGTGCACTCGTATTCAAAATCGTGACGATCACGAACGCACGACAGGTACCCAGCATCGCGCGGATAACTGGGCCCACATTGCGAAGACATGAGGCGGGCGTAGTTAGTATATGTCGCGGCCTATAGAACAATGTTCAGGATGGAAAAACACATATATACTTAATCGTCGACTCCCAGGATAATATGGAAAACATAGGAGGTGGGGGGAAGGCGAAAACCAATCAAATATTGGAAAATACGGGAATCCTGGGATCTGTGTGTATTTATGCGTGTGTATTTATTATTTGTGTGCCCCTGGGCCCTTTTACATGTCTCAGACCCAGCCTCGCACGGGAGGCCCCAGGGGACTGCGATTCGCCCCAGCAGACCTGCTCTGCTGCGGACCACCCTGCCCCGACGGTGTGGACAGACCCGCCCAGGCTGGACCCCCGCATTGGACTCAGCAACCCGCCGGGAGCTACACGAGCACGAGGCCGCTCACGGGGAGCGCCTGCTCGACCGTTCCGACCGTGCCGCGTGCCCGAGGATGCGGAGCACCGCGTCGGGCAGCGAGCGGCTGAAAAGGCCCTGCGAAGACCGTCCCGCCACCCGCCTCTACGCTCAGGCCAGTGGCACCCCCTGAGATCCGACGTGGCGAGCAACGTTGCAGCATCGCAGAGAATCACGAGTGGAGCCCTGGGCCCCATCTTTCTGCGCCATTGATTTCGAGCCGCATCGATCTGCGAGGGTCCCGGGGCCCGACACGGGGCGACAACGCCCTTCGTGAAAAACGTGCAGCGCCAGGATCTCGACGACGATGACGATGACGATGACGATGACGATATTTTCCTTCTAATGCTGAAATGCGAGCACTTTGTGGCCAAAGGGCTTCAGCCGGGGGGGCAGCACGGGCGACAGCGCCCCGTCGTGCTAAGCGTGCAGCGCCAGGATCTCAGGGCCCGTGCGTCCCAACCCCTCTGTGGCCCGCGCGGGCCTCCTACTCGGGTCTGCGGAGGATGAGGAGGAGGAGGAGGAGGAGGAGGAGGAGGAGGAGGAGGAGGAGGAGGAGGAGGAGGAGGAGGAGGAGGAGGAGGAGGAGGAGGAGGGGAGGAGGGGAGGAGGAGGAGGAGGAGGAGCGGTGGCCCGTGGGCAGAGGCGCAAGCCAGGGCGGCACGGCTGCGTCGGGCGTGCTCTCCGCGCGGCGCGCGGCCTGCCCGCCGAGGCGTCGTGGGCCCGATCTTGCCTTCCCTCCTCCTTTCAAGACCCTTTCGATATCGACCCTAAGTCTAACTGAAGACGTGGCCGCAGAGAGGGGGCCCTCCTCCTACCCATCCTGCCCTCCCAGGGTCCTCGAGGTTGGTTGAGGTGGAGGAGCTCGCCCGTCAAGAGACACCGACGAAGGAGTCGACGAACTCGTGGACGTCGAACGGAGGCCTACCCCCTCGCTTCGCAGGGGGCCCCGCAGGGCTGAGGTCTACCCCCTCGCCTCGCAGGGGCTGCGTGTGGCCTGCCCCCTCGCCACGCAGGGGTCGTCCTCCTCGGAGTCGGTCTGGTCCTCGTCGTCTGAGTCCGTGGTCGCGCCAGCGTGCGCCGACCTCTCGGCGGCCTCTGTGCGGACGCACTCTACGAGGTCCTCGCACATGAACATGGCCCTGTCGAAGTCGTCGCCGTGGGTCTCGCTCGAAGCTGCGATGAACAAGTCGAGGCCGTCCTTCCCTTGCGCCACGCAGGGGACCGGAAGAAACGAAGACGCCTTCGGAAGCAGTGCCCGTGGCAGCTGAGCCGCTCGGAGCACCATGAACAAGAGGGTGTGCGGCCGATCGTGCTCTCCGCATTTGGTCCTCCACCTCCTCCTGGCTGGGCGGGGGGTGGAGGCTCGGCCGCCAGCTGTCGTAGGAGCGAAGGACGCTATGGCCGACGCAGCCGTGCTCGTCGGTGATGTCTGGATTCAAGGACTGCTTCTCGTTGGCGCAAGTGACGGAGACGCCGATGCTGTCGGGGGCCGCTGCTCCCGTGGGGTGCGCACGGCTGCTCCTCTGGGTTTCTGGTGTCATGCGGCCACCACGCTTCTTGCCGTTCCCGCGGCGCTGGTTTTCCTGCGGCCTCGCGTTCAAGGCGTGGATGGCCTGGTCGAAGTTGTGCTCGGCATTGTTTCTGGATGCCCGTAAAGCTCCGCAGATGTTCGGTTTCGACCCGAGCGCTGCGGCCTCGACCTTCTGCTTGATGACGGGCTCGATGTAGTGCATCCTCGCGTTGACCTCGCCTTGCAGAGGGTCGGCCGCACCGACGAGGCTCCGCAGCAAGTCGTCCGTGCTTTGCCAGTTGTCCAGCTGTAAGTTGTGCCACCATTCTTCTCACCATGATAAGCGACGCTGAAGAGAGGCGATGAACGAAGCCTGCTCCTGCACCTTAGCTGTTGTGTCTGCTCTCGCCTGGGCCTGTTTGCTCTTTCGTGCCGCTCGGACTGCTCTTGACCATGAGATGCTGGTTTCATCGACGGGCTTCGCACACCATTGCGTAGGCGCGCCTTGCCCGAACCTCGCCATTCCTGCCACGTGCCATGCCATGCCTGGTAGAGCCAAGATGGTCGGGGCGCGCGACGCGGCTTGAGCCAAAATGGCTTGAGCCAAAATGGCTTGAGCCAAAATGGCTTGAGCCAAAATGGCCACGGACTCCCCTCCTCCTCTTCTTCCTCCTCCTCGCACGCAGCCGTGCCAGCTTGCTGTTGATGAGATGTGGAAATGGCGCGCGGTATGGACATGTCATGACACGCAACGCATGCGGCTCCCGAGCACGCACGTTGATTGGCACGACCTCCCTTTCATCTCGATTGAGGACGTGCGAGAGGCCATAGAGACCTTCCCCTGGAACACGGCGACGGGTTCCACCAGGATCCACGCCAGGTCTTTCAGCTGCGTCTCGAACGAGGGGCTCCAGGCTGTCTCGGAGTTGTTCATGAAGTGTGAGAGGCTGTTGCTGTGGCCCAGTAGCAGAATAGTGAACGAGATGGTTCGTTTAGCTACTCTTGACGGACGGACTAGACTCATTACCTTAAGTTGAAAGCTTGGTCAGATTATGGTCCAGAATTCGCAGGCCCACATCTAGAGGATGGATACAGCATATTTGGGGTAACCGTCGGAGGTATTCGTCGTCGTATGCAGCAATTCAGCACAATATACAAGCTGAGGTTGCAGCTCAGCCAGGTGAGCATTCTATCAGTATCGTGTTTAGACATTTTGAAGTGCTTCGAGACGGTATTGTTTCCTGCTTGGATGTCAAAGGCCGCTGTGCTTCAATATCCTTTAAGGCTGCTGTGGTTGCTTTTAGAATCCTACGGGCAGCCGAGGATCATCAAGGCATGCGGTTGCTGGAATCTGCCAACGAGGGCGCAGGAAGGTATCCTGGCTGGCCGCGCGCACGCGACGACGCTGCTCAGACACGCTATGGTAATGCCAAGAGGTCTAGTCGATGATAGCACTCTTCAGTGTATTTGGGGACAAACTTGAGGACGTCACGGAGCTTTCGGCGGCTGTCTTGGACTTCAAGGATGTTCGGGCACTAGGACTGTAGTTCAACCTGGGAAGTCTGAGTGGGTATCGAGTTCTAGGGCTTCCTGGAGATCGTCTGATCATCGAGCTAAGCAGCTACGTCTCCCGGCCAAGCAATGGATGAACAACTTGGGTCATAAGCTGTGTGGGAGCAAACCGATACGAAAACAGGCGGCCACGAGACAAGGGGCTTAGGTCTAGGATGCCAAGGGTGATGATGGTGCGCAAGAGTGCTGCACCACAGGTGACGGCGCTATGGCGCACAGGTTTACTCCCCGCTGCTGCGCACGGTGCTTCAGTATCAGGCGTGTCCGAGCTCGAGCTCGCTAAGCTGCGCCGCGCTGCTGGGGTGATCTGTGGCAGGTCGGCCTCTTCTGCGTCGCTTACGTTAGTGTTAGCCACGCAGAAAGACGAGATGTACGACCCAGTTTTCCATGCCTCGCTGGAGCCTATGACGGCTTATGTCAGCTTTGTTTGGGGTCAAAGTGTATTCTTGGGCAGGCTGCAAAGGGCTTGGGTTTCGTTGAATAAGCAGATGAGGAAGGAACCTACCTGGACTCAAGCTCGAGGGCCCATATCTACGCTGTGGCTGACACTAGTTCGGATAGGGTGGAGCATGCTATCTAGTGCAAATAGTTGACGGCGACAACTACAGCATAGGCATGATGAGTATACCACCCAGATCGGTCGTATATTTGGTTAAAGAAGGTATGCACCGATGGCAGTCGAGGAAATTTGTCGGTCGCACTCAGGATGTTTGTTTTGGCGGCGAGGCTATTTGGATGCGGGTTCTTCGGCGATGCCGTGGCGGAGCTAAGGCAGCAGTTCGAGCTCCTAGGCTTGCAGGGGCGCTGCGACCTCTACGGTCTGGAGAACTCTGGACACGCGGCAGGATGCAGCGGGCAGGCTATCAGATTTCCCCAGCATGCGCCTGGTGCCCGCAAGGACCTCCAGACACCCTTCGTCGCCAGATCTATGACTGCCCCAGGCTCTACGAGGACACGTTAGACGAGGACCTCCACTCATGCCCCAAGCTTGACCCCGTGTATCGGTATCTGTGGGAGAAGGGGATCACAGGGATCGGGCCGCATGGCTGGGACACAATGGAGACGTGTATTGGCATGCCATTGGATCCCCCAGCGCTCCAGAAGGTGGCTATCAAGATGCCTGTGGTGTCCTGGGGGGACGTGGGAGTCTAGACGGGATTCATGGTCGACGGTTGTTCTCTGATGGATCTGGAACGGCCCCCAGCTGGCCGGGGCGTCGTAGATGTGGATGGGGGTCCTGCCAATTAGGAGACAACGGTATGCCTGTTCGAGGAATCTGGGGAACACTGTCAGGTCCGATTCAAATTGTAGGCCGTGCGGAGCGCGTGGCACTTTCGATGCATGACGAAGGTGTTGCCTGGCACCAAGACCAGGCAGACGGACAAGCCACCTATGCAGATATACGGTGTGGTATTTTCTCTGAAGTTGAAGATCGGCCGCCGCCAGTTTTTTGTTTGAATTTCAGCACGCATGTCATTGGACAGTCTATCGATTCCAGGTGCCCCTTCGAGTTCTATCTTGGCAACGGATGGGCTGACTGGTTCGCTGAATAAGGGGCTCTCGCATGCGCTACCAGAGTGTCTTGTCCAGAATCGTGAGGCGTTGCTCGCGCAGGCCAAGCTCCAGGCCAGGTTCTTCGGGTGGGCGGCGGCGAAGATTGCATATCATGACGGAGCAAGTGGTAGGCCCGCCCGATCGTACATACCCGTCTCTCAGGGACCCCCTAAGTTGAGCCTCGCGGCCCATGACATGGCCAGCCGTGTTTTCAATGAGTGCCGTGTGCAACAATACGATGCCTGAGTGTAGCTAGGATTCCTGCCAGCTTGGCTAAACTGCTAAGCTCCCCTTGTGCCCCAACCCCTCAGCAGAGCTTGTTAGGTTCCAGGGGCGCGGTTTCAATGCAGGCTCTAAGTGTTAGGTCCCAGGCTGTTGATGCGGCCCTACAGTGGGCTGACGAAGTGGATGGCACTTCTGGCTTGGCGTATGAAGGTTCCGCTCTCAGCGAGTCGTCTGTGCCGCCGCCTGATGCCATCGTCGAGCTACGAGGGCACCAGGTGTTGGTGTCCCACGGTGCCATGGTGTGCACCGTGTGTGGCTCCTATCAGACGTGTTGTCAGGCGGCCAATTGTAAGTTGGACGAGGATTGCACAGGGCCCTCCCAGAAACCCCCGGCCAGATATACGCATATATATATATGTATGTATGTATATATATATATATATGTATAAAACAATAAAAGCCATAGAGTCTGGCAAGCACCCCAAGACGGGGAAGCCTCTTGGCTAAGTGTGCCCAGCAGTGCCCATCAGTCATGGCCCGTGCTCCAGTCCTCTGCTGCACGACAGGTCATCGGCGCTGTCCTCCTCCTCCTCCGGCTCCTCCTCCTGCCGATCTTGCCCTGGACCTCCCTGGCTCCGAGCGGGAGGGCGCGCGCAGCTCTTCGTCCAGGGCAGGCGTACCACAGAACGGAGTTGCCTCGGGCAGCTCACCGATCCTGGACGGTCTGTAGAGCAGCTTTCCTTGAAGCCCATCGCGGCCACGCCCGCCCGCCCGCTGGTTCCAGGCTCGGCATCGGGAGGTTCCTTGACCTCCTCATCCTCCTCGCGCTCCTCCGCAGCCGCCTTCCCGCGGCGACCGCGAGGGGCCGCTTCGGCCGACTCGGCCTCCGTCTTCGACGTGGGGACGGGGCCTGGAAAGCTCGCCAGGCAGGCCATCGCGGCCCTTCCGATGCAATCTCCAGCGCCGCCGCGGCGGCCGCGCACCTCGCCAGTGGCATCGACCACGAGGCGGGAGGCGCGGGAGCGCGACCAGGCACGAGGAGGCCTGATCCGAGTCCGGTTGTGTTGTGTGTGTGTTGCGTGTGTGTGTGTGTGTGTGTGTGTGTGTGTGTGGTGTGTGTGTGTGTGTGTGTGTGTGTGTGTTTGTGTTCTGGGTCAGCTTTCTCTGCCCGACTTTCTCCGCCGCGACGCTGCGCGCGTGGTCGCAACGCCAAAGAAAAGTGTGTGTGTGTGTCGATCTGGTCCAGCCGCGCCCGTTTTCCCCCTCGACTGCCCACGCCGCGCCACCTCGCGCGTGGCCGTGACGACACAAGTGTGTGTTGTGCGTGGGTGTGTGTTTGTGTGCGTGTGTGTGTGTGTGTGCTTCTGTGTGAGTATGTGTGTGTGTGTGTGTGTGTGTGTGTGTGTGTGTGTGTGTGTGTGTGTGTGTGTGTGTGTGGGGGCGCGTGGGCGCGTGCGTGCGTGCGTGCGTGCGAGCACCACCCGGTCTAGAACAACCACAGTGTCTCTGACGTTGGGGCCTTCGACGCCAGCTGGCAGACTAGTTCGAACTTCGCGCACTTTGCCCGACGTTTTGCGCCACGTTTCGTGTCCTGTGGCAAGACATCTTTCTTGTGCGCAGCGAAGGTGTGGACCTTCCATGCTGGATGAGAAACAGGAAATGCGGTGTCAGATTTCATCAGATTCAAAACAACGTGAAGCAACACATTCGCGAATGTAGGACACGCAACCCATTAATCCGCCAAGTGTGGCCTGAATGGCACTTGCTCGAGTCTGCTGGCGGCCCGAAGCGGGAGAGTGTTACTGCTGAGTAATGTGGAATCGAATGCGGAAAGAAATCATGAAATTGCTCGCACGTGTTTGGGAGCGTCGCACAGTTGAAAAGTGTTCTGGCCGGGTGTTAATTGTTTCGGCCTCTCTTAGCGCGGTGCACGGGCTCGGAACAGGATGCTATGATAGCGCATATTGGATGGTTGATGGCAGGGGGTGCCGTAATACATCAGACCGTCTGCCGTCCATCACATCGCCAAGCGCTATCCTCATGACATGCCACAACGCTCAACCACACTCACACATCGTCCATCGCAAGCACTGTTGTTTTATCTTGCCACGAAATCTTGCGAAAGTAGTGCCTCCCAGCCTTGTCCAGGAAAGGTTATGTGTGTATCGCTGTTGCCCAGCACCGTTTCCGCCGCCATGTCAAGTACGTACATTGATTGGAGTGAGGGGCTGATCGGTCTTACACCATCTTTCGGTGCGTGACTGAAGGGGGCTTCCGCGGTGATGATTCCTGATGTTGTTTACTTGATGTTGTCGTCGTCCTCGACCGCGACCCGCCTGCGACCCACGTGGGACCGGTCCGCGAACCGCCCGCAACCCACCCGCGACCCACCCGGGACTTCCACGGGCCCACCCACATTGCTTTCGTGAAAAAATTCAGCGCTTGCGGCGGGCTCGCTGTGTGATGTATCAGAAGTCGTCCCCTACGGCAGGCTTCTTCAGAGCCGCCGCCCCCGCCGCCCCCACACTTTTGTTCGCGACTGCGGGGGCTATGCATTTCTTGCCTACCTAGATCGCCATGCCGTTACTCCCTCTGCTCCTGCTGCCCGTCGAGCTCCTGCTGCTTCCTGCTCCTGCTGCTGCCCCCAGCTTCTTCGTTTTGTGCTCCTGCTTTTGGCACGTCTTCTCTCTCTGTGTCCTCATCCTCTCGCGTGTCACCCGACTCTCTCTTCCCCTGCCCCCTACTGCACAAGCGCGAGCTCTTGAGCGTCACCCGCGCCTGAGGCGGCAGGCTTCTTCGGTGGAGTTCACAGCTCCCAAGGGCCTCGACATCTGTGCGCCCTGGGAGTGGAGCCGGATGGATGGAGGGGGCAGCTGCCTGGGAACGCTCGCGTTGTGTCAGGGTGCTCTTCCGATGTGCGCTGGGGCGGCGTGAGGAGGCGGGGTGAGACGGCTGCTCCGGGAGAGGGGCGTGGGGAAATTGGGGTGGGATGACGGTGCGAAGGCTCCGCTGCCATCCTGCCTTGCGATTCCGAGCCTGCGTTCCAGGGACTCGCGTGCCCCCGTTTCGCTGATGATCCTCGCCCTCGGAGATGGTCGGCCTGGAGCGGTCCGAGGGCATGGGGGGGGGAGGAGAGGAGGAGGAGAAGGAGGAGGAGGAGGAAGAGGAGGAGGAGGAGGAGGAGGAGGAGGAGGAGGAGGAAGAGAAGGAGGAGGAGGAGGGGGAGGAGGTATCGCGACGGGGAATCGCGTTTCCACAGGTGGGGGGGATGTCAGGCTGATGATCTCGCCCCGTTCCGCTGCACGGGCCCAGGAGATTCGCGTGCGGGCATCGCCCGTTGCAGGTTGGTCCCAGCGTGGCTCTGGGCCTGCCGGGTGCATTCCCGTGCCATCCATCGTCTGTCGCAGGGAGGCGCGGCTGTCTTGCAGTGAAAAGATAGTTTTTATCATGGGTAATCTCTGGAAGTGGGGAGCATGTCGGTGACTTCGGTGAACATCGGAAGCAGGGGCTTCTCCTGCCCCTTGCGGCGTCGCATCGTGAGCACCGTCTTGTTTCAGACGGAGGCTCTTCCCCCGACCTCCTGGCCGTGGCGTTGCGCAGGTTGCTGGGCCTCAAACATGCCACAGTGGCAGAGAGGCAGCTAGCAGCACCGCTCGCCCGACCCGCTCTCACAACTCAGCTTTGCTAGGCACGTGTTCTTTGTGTTCGAAGCTCTAGGTTTTGGTGTATCAATTTGTGGGCGCGTGTGTGTGTGTGTGTGTGTGTGTATGTGTGTGCATTTCCCTGGATTCGCTCGCCTTTGCACAGCCACCCACTCGCGACGCCGTGCGGAATTCGGCTCGCCTTTGCAGCCCGCTCTGGCGCCCGCCGTGGTGACGCCGCTCGGCCGCTGGAGAAACAAACAAACGCGTGCACGTATGTGCGTGCGTGCGTGCGTGCGTGCGTGCGTGCGTGCGTGCGTGTGTGTGTGTGTGTGTGTGTGTGTGTGTGTGTGTGTGAGTGCGTGCGTGCGTGCGTGCGTGCGTGCGTGCGTGCGTGCGTGCGTGCGTGCGTGCGTGCGTGCGTGCGTGCGTGCGTGCGTGCGTGTGTGTGTGTGTGTGTGTGTGTGTGTTTGTGTGTATGTGTGTGTGTGTATGTGTGTGTGTGTGTGTGTGTGTGTGTGTGTTCCCCCCCCTCCCGCGCCGTTTCCTTTCTTCCGCTCGTGCATTGCGGCCCACTTAGCATGTGTGCGCCCTACATTTGCCACACCCGCCAGCGCAGTCACAGTGTCTAGCCGCCGACGCAAACAAAGTGTGTGTGTGCGTGTTTGTTTGGCGCCTCGCCACCTGGCCGCCTTGTCCTCAAGGGCGCCCTCGAGGGCGCGAAGTCATTCGCGCTTCGCGCTTCGCTGTTCGGCTCCGACTCATCCTCGTCCTCCTCTTCTCCCCCGGGCGGCGGCGCGAGAGCGCGAAGTCATCCGCGCGAAGCGCGAAGCGAGGAGCCCTTGTGTGCACCGCCTCGTGCAGCCGTGGCTTTGCGCTCGGGCTGTCGGCCGTCCTGGCTCCTGCTTCCCCCTTGTCTCTGGGGGGCAGCGCGGCGTGTCTCTCCCGACGGGTGCGGCTCGTGCCTCCAGGCATCCCTCCTCCTCCTCCTCCTCCTCCTCCTCCTCCTCCCTCCCTCCTCCTCCTTTCTCCTCTCTCCTCCTCCTCCTCTCTCCTCCTCCTCCCTCCTCCTCTCTCCTCCTCCTCCTCCTCCTCCTCCTCCTCCTCCTCCTCCTCCTCCTCCTCCTCCTCTCCTCCTCCTCCTCCTCCTCCTCCTCCTCCTCCTCCTCTCTCCTCCTCCTCCTCTCTCCTCCTCCCTCCTCCCGCGCCCGGCCGTCGGCCCCGCTCTTGCGGGGGGGAGGTGCCTGCTCCGCCTCCCTCCGCCTGCGCCGTCCGGGCTGCGAGCGGGTCCGCTCACCCGCGAGTTGTTGCCCGCGCTGCGTTGCACAATCGGGGACTCGAGTTACGCCGGAGCTCGGGTTCGCCTACCCCGAGTTTCTTAATAAGCGTCGGAGGGGGCGGGCGTCACCCCGCCGACAGCCCCGCATCGATCCCCGTCGCGGGCAGCCACCACGCGCCGAAGGCGCTCCGCCCCCCGTCGCGGCGCCACGACCAGGCGAGGTTGACCCCCGTCGGGGGGGTTACCCACGCTTATTAAGAAACCCAGAGTACTCTTTTTGGCGAGCGCGTCCTGGATTTTGACGGTGCAGTTTTCGTGGGATGACTGCAGCGGGAGCTCGTATCCAATTTCAGAGTCGGTCTCGTTGTTCTCATGATGGCCCCGTCGGGCCAACCCGAGTCCCCCAAACCCGAGTCTTACGTCTCAGCGATACAAGGAAGCAATTTCGAGGCAAACATAACCCGTTGCGTCGCTACCGAGGTTTGGACTCAACCGCGCGCTGATTCGGTGAGCACCAGCGCTGCGTCGGTACGCACGGCACGGCTATGTTTTCGCATTCCAGAAACAAGGCAAGGTATGGCGCGGCATGGCGCTGAACCTGGCAAGGCACGGCACCGCGACCTTTTTCATTTTCGCATTTTGAAATGCAGGCACGGCGCGTCACGGCACGGCACACGTGGGCACCGTACGGTAATCAATCGCATTCTCGAAACCAGCCATTCGAGCAGGGGATCGATTACTAAATGTATGATCCCAAATCTACGATCCCAAAAATTCGAGTCGTCGAATCTGCGGAAAAGACGTCGAGGGTTTCCAGACTCGCGAGCAGCACGCCGAGTCGCGCCTTCGACAGATGAGAGCACCAACCTCGGGGCGACAACCGACTCTGCAGTCGATCCCCCCGCTCGACCACGGCGCTGCCGGCGGGCACGGCACGGCGCGGCACGGTACGGCGGCAACCGAGCGCGGCTCGGCACGGCGCGGCACGCGGGCACGGCACGGCGCGCCGCGACGTGGCCACGACGCGGCACTTTTTCTTCCTCCGCCCCCCGGGCGCGCAGCGCGCGGCACGGCCCGGCCCGCCGGCATGGCCCGCACGGCACGGCGTGCCCGTCCGCTCGCGTCTTCGACGGCCGAGGCACGGCGCGCCCCGCCGCGACACGCGCGGGCAGGGCACCCCGTCCGACGCCGACGCCGCCTGCGGGCAGCTCCGGCACGGCCACGGCACGGCACGGCTCTCTGCGCGCGCCCGCAGCCAGCCGCGGCCTGGCACGGCACGCGGGCACGGCACGGCACGGCACGTTCCCTTTTCCACACGGCACGGCGCGCGGGCACCGCCCGGCACGGCCCGGCACGGCCCGACAGCTGCTTCTGCGCGGTCGAAGCCGGGCGCCGCCTTGCACGACACGGCCCGCGGGCCCGGCCCGCCAGGGCACCGCACGCTGGACGCGTCCTCGAGGCGACGCGCGGCGAGGCGCGCGGGCTTGCCGCGGCACGGCAGCGGCGTCGCACCCCCGCGGCCGACCACGGCACGGCCCCGCACGGCACGGCGCGGCGCGGCGCGGCGCGGCACGGCACGCGGGCACGCCACGGCACAGCACGGCACGGTACGGCAAGTGTACTCCAGATTTCGTAATAAAAGGGATGGGGGTCTGGACCCTCCAAGACAAGCCATTTCAGACCTCCCCCGTGGGAGAACCCTCCAAAACATCGTCCCCAGACCCCCCAGGCCCTCCAAGATAGCCTCGAAGAGACCCCCCCGAAATGAGACCCCCCTCCCTTTCTAACGAAATCTGGAGTACCACATTCTCGAGACAGAACACGGCACAGCACGGCACCTGCACGGCAGCGTCCCCTCACAGTTTCGAAAGTAAGCGCGTCACGCGGGCATGGCAGGCGCGGCACGGCGCGGCACGGCACGGTATGCCACGACACGACATTTTCCCGCGCTCTCGAAGCTGAGCAGGGCAAGGGAAACGGCAAGAGAGTTTGTCATGCCCGAAGCCGAGCACGGCATCGTGCGACATGGCACGCTGGCACGACACTGCACAACATGGCAACGCATGTTATCCCTTCTCGGAGCCAGGCGCGGCACGGCACACCACGAACTTTTCCCGCATTCCCGGACCCATAACCGTTTCCTTAAGTGAAGTCGTGCTTTTGCATCATGTTCTGTTTAGGGTAAGCGTTTTTTCTTTTGGTTATAAGTGAAGTCGTGCCTTTACAGCATGTTCTGTTTAGGGTAAGCGTTTTTTCTTTTGGTTATTGGTTGCCGCATTCTTCCCCCTTTCTTGCCGCCCATGCACGGTCAGAGGATAATCCAGACATATCGCACATTCCAGCGTGAAGATTGTGTGGCAGCGACTGCAAGTTGAGTTGCAATGCTCGGCAGTTCGAGGCAACTCCTGATACTTTTGCCGTGATCCATCGGTTTTGACGATGGTAGTCGTACTATGTACTTGCAATATCCCAGGGGAAGCGTCATTCTACTCGTGACGCTCAATCCCGTTGTCGAGCTTGCGAGACGCGTGTGCCAGACCGTGTTCATCTCCGTACGCGCCGTCGGACGTGGAATGGCAGGGGCGCGGGGAGTGCTGCCAGTTCAATTTTGCTTGGTAAGGTTGGCAGTGGTGCTGGTGCCAGAGCGACCACAGGCGGATGCGGTGGTGCTGCCTGCGCCGTGCGCCCGCACACGTGCGCTCGCGCGCGGGAGAAGACGGGGGGGGGGGAGGGCGCACGCGTGAGACGCGAACGCGCGGACCCTGTGTGGGGTTGCGCGCGTGCGCGCACTGCACTTTGTGTGCTGTGGGGGCCGACGCCGCCTCGGCTGTGCCCGAAGCCGTGCCTCGCTCCTCCTCCTCCTCCTCCTCCTCCGCCTCCTCCTCCTCCTCCTCCTCCTCCTCCTCCTCCCTATCCTCCTCCTCCTCCCTATCCTCCTCCTCCTCCTCCTCCTCCTGCCAAGGTTCGCCCGCGCGGTCCTCTTCGATGCGCAGTGGGAGTCCCTGGCGGCGCTCCACTTCGCCGAGGCTCCGTGCAGTTTTGATGGGAGGGTGACCTCTGCGCCCCCCTGGCTTGCACGGTGACGTGGGAGATCCTGGCCCCGGGGCCCGCTCGGCGACCACCACTGTTCGGGAGCGGAAAAGAGGGGGGGGATGACTAGGGGGGGGGGGATTTCATGGCGCGGGTCATGATTTTTCCTCAGATTTCATGGCGCCTCTTCTTATTTCATTACGTCCCTGGCCCCCCCGCTGGGCCGTGCACATGCCGCCGGTCATGTTTTGCCCCCCCCCCCCCCCCCCCCCTCTTGGACACCCCCCTCTTGGCCGCTCCCGAACTGTTGCATACATGGGAGATCCTGGCCCCGGGGCCTGCTCGGCGACCACCACTGTAGCCGTCGGAGGGTTGTTGGGAGACGATGACCACGATGACGCAGGCGCGCCCCAGTCGGATGTGTGACAAACGCAGAGTTTTGAGCGGAGGTGTGCACGCTTCCAGCTCCTCTTCGCGCTCGTGTGCCATGGCAAGCGAGGAAAACAAAACAATTATGTTTTTGGAGTTCTTCACCCGTTGAACCTTTCGGTATGACAGGGAATTGCTCTGCTGGCACGACGCTGCGAAACAGCGCCCACGGTCGTCTCCTTTACTCCGCCCGGTGGGCATCGGTCATACACCTGCATCTGCAGCGATCATGGCCGGCTGATCCTCCGCCATCCTGGTCAGCCCTTCGTAGCTGCGCCAAGCCGCAGCCACGAGGAGGCCTGACGATCATCAGGAGCGAAAGAAGGACGTACACGTACATGAATCCACGCTGGTGTCGAGAGTACGCGTTGCCCGAATGTTCGTATCACGCGGCCAGTCTCGCGGATCGAGGGGGCCGCGTTCATGTACATAGCTGGGCGCGTGCGGCCTTTGTGGGTTCCCTAGACCAGGCTCCAGAGAGCCAGGCTCACAATCTCGAGGTGCGCTCGTCGAGGCATCGGCGATGCGGCTCGATCTGGCGCCAGATCTCTACATCCCGACGTCCCCGATGCATCGGCGATGAGGGCGCTTTTGAGACCCCACCTGCTCCGGCCCGATTCGGGCGGCCTTCTGGGCTCCCGGCGAACCCAAAGATCGACGGACGGCGGGGTCACTTGTCTTAGGTGGGGCATGTCCTCCTACAGGCGGGTTTTGGACGAAAAGTTCAGAATACCCAGAAAAGATTCGAAAGATACACGAAGTAGTAAAAAGATCGTCCCCAGACTATGTTTTGACTATTTTTGAATGTTCCTCCTGTAGAGGGACACGCCCGAGTTCACACTTGTCGTTCACGACCGATCCCCAGACCTCTCCCAGATCTCATTCTGACCCCTTCTTCGAGCTGCCTCTGGCCGTGGCCACGAGGGGGCCCGACGTCTGCTGGCGATGCCCCGAGCCGGTGGGCTCTTGCACTCTCGACTGGCGGTCTCTTTGGTGTGCTCGGTGTGCTGCAGTCTGTCACTGTGCCCCCCCCGGCCCCAGGCGCTGGCTGCTACTCCCCGCCACCCTTGCCACCGTCGTTCGCCACGGCCGCCCACCGCGCTCTGGCCCTGCGCGCCCGGCTGCTGCTGCCCGCCCGGCTGCTCTTCGTCGAACTCTTCGGCGTCTGAGCGTCCCGCCTTCCTCTCGGTCGTCCCCCTTCCTCTCTTTGCTCGCCGGCCGATTTGCTAGTTAGTGCCCCTATCTGGCTTCACGCTGGAGCGGATTTCGCCGCCGCGCCGCTGACGAAACAAATGTTGCAGTCTGTACACGGTCCAGTCTACCTTACGAGGTGCAATGCATTCTGATCTTGAAGTCGTCAACTCTGATGCTCGTCGTCAGCTCCGATTATTTTACAGTTTTTTCACACACACCAGCCCGCAACTGGTTCCATACACGATGACGGTGATGATGCTGATGACGATGGTGGGGATGACGGCGGTGATGGTGATGGATATGATGAGGATGTATGGATCATGACGTATAGACATGTGTATTTCTCTCTCTTTCTCTAATATTTATATTTATATTTATATATATATATAGAAAGATCATATAATGTTAGCCAGCGTGCTTGTGCAATGCAATGCATGTGGTGCAGCCTACGTGGTGCACTCCATTCTGCTGAACTTGAAGTCGGCATCCCCACTGCTCGCGCAATCATCCCACCCTCCCACTCTTAAAATGTTAGGCAAAACTCATGATGCGGGGGACGGCGGCGCCACCGATGACGACATAGATGATAACATCCTCACTGCCGATGCTCGTCACCGTGAGTTGATGATGAAGGTGAGCATGTCGACGATTTTCGGACGTGCGCGATGACAAGGTGACGTTGGCAACGTCAGCGACAATGACGAAGATGGCGCCAGCGACGACGATGTTCAAGAGGGCGACGGCACGAACGATAACGGCGCCAATGATGGCAAACACGTTGACGATGCTGATGACCATCTGTCGATGAGGCAGGTGATCTCGGTGATGCTGACAAGGTTGAAATGGAAATCCGCGAGCGCGGAAGGTCAACGAATCCGTCAGACTGATCATGCGCGCGCGGAGGTGCGCGCATGTGGCCCGCGTTGTTTTTTTTGCAAGGGATTCGCGCCCTCGGCGCGTGACAAGAGTATCGCGGGTGCACCGCGCGGTGACGTGAAATCGTTGGATTTGGAAGAATTCATAAACATCCAATGGTTTTTGTAAGATTCGAACAGGAGCGATTTGCGAATGTTTTGTTGCAGAACTTAGGTTGTCTAGATTTTCAGGCTGACGTGCTTGCGAGCACTCTGTGTTTGGTGCGGTTTTGATGTGGACGCGCGCGTGATGATTGTTTGTGGAAAGGATTGTGGGCGCGTATCGTATTATTGTCCAGGGGGCGGCGGTGGGATCGATGTCGGTTTCGCTGGGATAGTATGAATTCACAGGTAAGGTGGACGAGTGTGAACAATCAGTCCGGTATGGCAATGCCCCTTGGGGTATCGTTAACTCCGGGGAAGGGGGGGCGGGGGGTAGAGTCTCTTCTTCTTTTTAGAACAGAGAACCTATGTGGCCCAAGTGTTTCTTTTTACCCGTGCTTTGACACATCCGTTGCTCTTGCGAGCGCCCCGCCCACCCACCCGCGACCTGGTTTGCAAAGCTTCTTCAGACCGCGACGGTAGGTGCCAAGTGGCACTTGGCATCGACGCCGACGCCGACGACGACAGCGACGACGACGACGCCGACGACAACGACTACGACGACACCGACGACGTCTCCGACGATTTCGACGTCAACGACGACGACCGCGACGGCGACGACGGCGACGACGACGACGACCGCGACGCCGACGTCGACGACGACGACGACGATGACGACGCCGACGACGACGACGACGCCGATGACAGCGACGACGACGACGTCGACGACGTCGACGACGACGACGACGACGGCGGCGGCGCCGACGACGCCGACGTCGACGACGACGACGACGACGCCGACGCCGACGACGTCGCCAACGAAGACGACGACGACGACGAGGGAGGAGGGAGGACGACGACGGCGACGACGACGACAGCGACGTCGACGACGACGACGCCGACGACGAATACGACGACGCCGACGACGTCGCCGACGACTTCGACGACGACGACAACGACGACGACGACGACGGCGAGGACGCCGACGACGACGACGACGCCGACGCCGACGACGGCGACGACGATAACGTCGACGACGATGACGACGCATACGACAGCGACGACGACGTCGCCAACGAAGACGACGACGACGAGGAAGGAGGGAGGACGACGACGGCGACAACGACGACAACGACGAGGGAGGAGGGAGGACGGCGACGACGCGAACGACGAAGAAGGAGGGGGGGCGGTGACGCCGACGACAACGACGAGGGAAGAGGGAAGACGACGACGACGACGACGACGGCGACGAAATAGGAGGGCCGGCGACGAGACGACGACGGACGACGACGACGACGACGGCGAGGGAGGAGGAAGAAGGACGACCACGGCGACAACGACGACGGAAACGACCGCGACGCCAAAGAGGACGACGACGACGACGAGGAAAAGCAGATGACGACGACGACGAGGGAGGAGGGGGGGCGGCGACGATTACGACGACGACGCAAGAGCGCGCGCGCACGCTTTGGTTGAAAATCCGTGTTGTGAAACCTTGTGTTTTTGCATGTTTTTGGAATCCGTCCGAAACCGAAGGTTTTTGAAGGATTTCGGCATGCGCGCGCGACGACGCGCGCGTCTGCACTTCGTCCCGTTTTTTGCAGAGTATTCTCGCGACGGCACGCGCGCAGGGGCGTTCGCAAGATTTCGACATGCGCGCGCGAAGCCCGTTTGGTAGCATTTTATGAATTGGCTTCTTTTTAAGAACTCGCAAGAGCAAGCGCGTAAGCCTTTTTAGAACATCAGTGCTGCGAAACCATGTGTTTTTGTATGTTCTGTGAAGCTCGATTGTGAACTCCTTCCGAAACCGAAGGTTTTTGAATGATTTCGGCATGCGCGCGCGACGACGACGACGCGCGCGTGTGCACTTCGTCCCATTTTTCGCAAGGGAGTCTTGACAACCTATGATTTTTGATGCACGAATGTGCGCGCATAGTATTTTTTGCAGAGGATGGCGGGGGGGGGCAATGCGGGCCTGGTTGGGATAGTAGGAGTTCATATTCTGAATGGGCGAGTGTGCAGAACCACACGTTAATTGCAATGCGAAAAAGGTGTGCCGTTAAGTTGTCAGCTCCGTTGCTCTCGCAATCATCCCACCCACCCACCCGCAACTCGGTTTGCATAACCCATGCGGGAGCGATTGCGATGAGTGCTGAGTGTTGGCTGGTGCATCTCTGCGGCCGCGCTAGCCCGCGCGTGCTCGCGCGCGCAGCGGCCAGCTAGTTTTGCGCGACCGACGCGATCGCGGTGGCGCTGACCGCTCGGCACATCCCAACGGGCACTTCAGTGCGAGTCGGCGAGTTGGGCGGGCGCGGTAGCGTGGCAACGTCGACAACGGTAGACGCGATGATGATCGT